TCCACCTATCAAGTCCTTCCAAAGGACCTGGAATAGGCAGATATGGATTTTTGATGATATTAAAAGTATTGTCTTAGGTGTTCAGAATAAAGCTGCCTTTTGCAATTGACTGGTGTTGTTTTTGTCAATGCCAGTGGTGTACAAGTAATGCTCCAGTTGTTTTGGGATTGCATCCAAGACGTTTATTGCTATTGTTACTACCTTTGCTTTCTATTTCCACAGACTTTCTATAGGTCCCAAAGGTGCTTTTACAAGAGGCAACTGGACTGTCTTGTTTTTCTTTGAAGACATTTCACTTCTCATCCAAGAAGCTTCTTCAGCTCTGAAATGGATTCATACTCCTTGCAGACAGATGGTTATTTGCATTCTTTTAGAGACTTGTTGAGGCCACCTGGAGGTTTATCTGTGTCTTGAGGGTCACTTGAAGTAGTGCAAATGGCTGTGGAGCCTTCTCCAAACTGTTGAAAGGACTGTGTTGTAGACTGCAGATAGATGATGTTCTCAATGACTCTCTAAAAGATTGCAGATGACAAGTTGTCTGCAAGGAGTATAAATCCTTCCATTTCCCACCATCCAGTCAGCTGAAGAAGCTTCTTGGATGAGAAACAAAACGTCTTCAAAGAAAAACAAGAAAGTTCAGTTGTCTCTTGAAAAAGCACCTTTGGGACAACCATGACCTGGATGACTGAGAATCTCTATAGACATCTATTTGCAGGTCTTTGTATTTTGTCCTCCAGCACTTTCTTTTCTATTCTGCCATCTCCAAGTACTGTCACATCCACGACCCAGACTTTTTTTTTCTTTCTTATCGATAATTGTTAAATCTGAGGTATAATGTGGCAGATACCTGTCAGTTTGAATTCTAAAGTCCCAGAGTACTTTAGCTTATTTATTTTCTATATTTTATGGTCCTACCAATTCTTGCTTGCAGGCAAATGGTATTTCTTGCATTGTTGCTATTTAGTTGTGCTGTTTTTTGTAGTCAGTCTGTGCAATCTTTTTGCAGCAGCTAACCAGGCGGTCCACTGTTTCTTCAGCATCTTTTTAGAGGCAGCACTTGCTGTCTGTCACTGTCTTCTCAATTCTGGCTTTGTATGCATTTGTTCTTAAGGCTTGGCCTCGTTTAGCTTTAATATGCATTTGAATTGATACCTCTGTTTCTTTCTACAGTTTTCCTGCTCTTAGCCATTGACAGACCTTGTTATTTTCTGCTTTGCCATTTTTTTTAAATTTAATGTACTGGCCAAATAATACTTTGTCTTCCCTTTCTGTTCTCCCTTTGTCTGTTTTCTGTTCTCTGTTTGGTTTTTCATGTAGGCCTGTTTGGTTTTTTCAGTACTCAGTAAACCTTCTATTGTGACCTAGGCTGCCTGAGTCATTAAAACACACGAGTAGTCCCAAAAACCTCTTTTATTGCAACAGCTGTGAATTACATTCATTCACAAGTGAGTCCCAATTAGTTGCAAAAAGTCCTTCGGGATAATCACCAACCTTTATCTCCCTTGACACGCTGCCAAAGACCTACTTGGCAAAGCCACACGGAGTCCAGAATCAAACAGAGATGCTGACTGGGAACAGAATTAACAATGTTGCTTTCCTGCAAAGGGCCGACGTGCCTTTGCTCCTCTTTTAAGCCTTATGGGAGGGGCCAATCATCTCCAGGCCTTACTCCTGAGTCATCCCTCTAGTTTTAACTGTTCTTGCCTTCTGGCAGTCCTGCGCATGCGTGCACTAGGAACAGGCTCCTCCTGTTCCTCTGCCTCTCTGATGTCTGACTCTGGAGGCTCCAGAGTCCATGCATAACTCCCAGATAGCCCTGGCCCCATCTCTGCTTCCGATGCAGAGCCCTCGTCAGAATCTTCCCCAGACTCTAGGACTGGCCCATGTTCCTCCCCAGCCTTCTTACTGTCCGACTCCGCTGCCAGCTCTGCAGGCTGCTGGCAGACCACAAACACCTTCGTGGTATACTAGCTTCAGTGCATTGCCTTCACTACCCATCAGATATTTTTCCAATGCCTTTTTTACTTTTGCAACTCTCTGATATACTTGCAACATTCTGTGCCCACCTATTTTCCTTGGCAAGTAGGGTCTATCAACATCACTACGTAGACGAAGGGCATGATTCATTGTCATTATTTTTCTGGTTTGCCTATCCTGTGCTTTTAGTTCTGCTTTCTATTCTAGTAGTGTATCTAATGACAGGAATTGCCCAAGTGTTAATTGCCTTGATCATATTTCCTGCATTGAGTTTGAACTTTTCGATCATCTTTACTCTCATGATGATGCATTCATTTCTAACCCTTTTCTTGACTTCAGTGTGCTTGATGTTGTCAGTTTAAAGGATATCTATGTATTTGTAGTGATCTTCTTCATCCAGACTCTCAATGTTATTTCCAAAGGGCATTTTGATTCCTACAGTTTTTCACTATTTTTCCTGTTTGATAGTGACACATTTGTCCAGTCCTAATTTCATTTATGATATCTTGGCTGTATGCATGACAGTGTAGAGCAGCAATTTATTTTTATCATTATTATTTTTATTGTCCTCAAAGGGACATGCAGCTTAGCATAATATGACAGTATTTCACCTGCCAGATACATATAGGCTTAAGAATGCTTTCTCACTGGTTGGCTTATATATTCATATTTGGTTTTATAAAAGAGTACATTAATTTATATATAAGAGATGCCTTGGATTTTTTAAAAATACTATCAAGGCAGAGCACAGGGCCTGTGATAATGAAGCTAAAAGGATAGCCTTAGTAAACTTTAGGTGGCTATTGCTATCAAATGATCAGTAGACATGTGTCTTGAAGATGGACAAGTTTAGTGATAGCATATGGACAGAAAAAGTATTTAGCTGTGAAAGCTAAATACTTAAATGTCTTTGGGCTCTATCTCAGTGTAGCATTTATCTGCAGTGCTACTTTGGAATTGGGATATATGTGACCAGCTTGATGCCTGTTAATATCTGGGATGTGTTAGGCCTTTTAAAGTGGAAATAGTGCCACTCATTTCCAAAGCCTTAGTAAATTTACTGGATGAGAGTGATGATAAATAGCAATCTCAAAGGTGCTTTTTCAAGAGGCAGCTGGAGTCTTTGATTTTTCTTTGAAAACGTTTCACTTTTCTGAAGTGAAGATGAAGCTTCTTGGATGAGAAGCAAAATGTCTCCAAAGAAAAGAAAGAAAAGAAAAGAAAGAAAAACCAGAAAGTCCAGCTGCATCTTGAAAAAAGCACCTTTGGGACAACCATGACCTGGATGACTGAGAATCTCCATAGATAAATAGCAATGTTATTAAGTACTAAACTGGATAGCGGCAGCATATCCTTTTTTCTTTGTTCTTGCTACTGCTTGCCCAATATCCAGGAAAAAGGTGATTCTTGAATCTGGACTCTCTTGAAGAGGAGGCTAACTTTTAACTAATGGAGTAAAAAGATATTTTATAGCCATTTTTCTCTTGTCTTTTTTCAAGTGAAATATTTCAAGACATTGTATTGGATTTGTTGTGAGATCTCCAAAGAGTATTTTCCAGGCAAGTGAATATTTACTACTCACTCAAAAAGCCTACACCTGAAAATGATGGAATAATCTTGTTATGATTGTTCTAATCTCTGAGGAAACTGGGTTAGGGTTAGGCTACCCTATCTATCAGCCTTTCCACTCTCATACCTCACCCTATCTCCCCACGCTATCTAGGGTACAAAAACTATCCTATGTATCAATCCCTTCAGCTGTTTATCCTTTTTCATCTCCTGCTGGATTTAGCTAGAATTTTATTACAGCAAGTAGGATGAAGAAGGGAAAAATTACCAGTTAGGACAAGTAAGGAGGTACAGCATTTGTTTCTCTGCTCTCTCAATCAGATTGTAATTTAACAATTCTAATCGGTGTAATTATGCCATTATTAAAGGCTAGCACTTGTGGTGTGAATCGTAATAATTAAGTTTTAATTATGGTATTTGGTAGGGTGACTCACTACAACCAGGTGTGTGTGAAATATAAACCCCAAAATGTACTATGAAGCAAGACAACACTGACTGAGAATTTGGTGAATTGCAAGACTAAAGAAAAGATCTAATGGTTGATTGATATCACCCTGTTTTTTAAATATCATTGTCACTCTTCTGAGCCATTAAAATGGGGCATGCTATGTCTAAAAATGTTTCTTTAAATGTATTTAAAGAATACATTTACCTTTCTTTCAATAATTTCATATATGAAATTAATTTATTCATTTCAAAAATAAAAGGCTAGGATTCTATTTGTTTGGAAACATTCCCAGTTACATTCCCTTTTGTCTCTTAAGATAATAGTGTCTTGTAATATCTACCTGTGAGATACTGATGATCACAAAAGAACGTGTCAAATTGTAATTCCTTATTTGAATAGGTTATATTCAGATTTGTGGTGACAATCTATCTTGGATTATCTAGATTTCCACCCATCACTCTTTTGCCTAAGAAAAACCAGTGATCCACACTGATCTCAGAATATATGTTAAGTTACAATTTGATGATAATTCTCCAGAATGGCTCAGAATATAGTGTATCCCACTGACTCAAACAAATTCCATGCAACTGGAAATTAGAAAGTGGAGAGGATAAATTCAACTTTCAGCATTTCAGCATATGTTTGAATAGTAAATGCCTTGGCTAATAAAGCTTGCTTACAATATTGGCTTAAAATAGTTCTTTTTTTTTTTTTTAATGTAAGCAATGGAGGCATCATTATTCACTTTGCAAACAGGGATGGGACAGAACTTGCCTACTGTTTGCAATTTACCCAGTTAGCAATTATTTATAATGCAAGAGATAAGTTACTCTGACCTGAGGTATAATATTGTAAGCAATCAGGTTTCATGTAACAAGATTTATCTTATGTATAAAAGCAGTAGTTACAATGAAAACAATATAGCATGAATCATATATATTTCCTAACCAAATTGATTTAATTTTATGTGCAGATGGATAATGCTCAGTTCCTTTCTGTTTTTCAGAAATGTGCCACTTGCCATTTGCTCATCAATGGTTATTGTCACACTTGGCTACGTCTTAACTAACGTGGCCTATTTTACAACTCTCAGCCCCGAGGATATGCTAATCTCCAAGGCAGTGGCAGTGGTAAGTAGTGGTAAAAATGCATATAGGAAATTAGGGAACGTTATAATATATTGAAAATGAATCCTTTGACTATAAGGGAAGAACTGAATTTATAGGATCTATATTTTTATATTAAAGAATATATATATATTAGTAATGTTTTCTGTTTTTTTGGTTAGACTTTTTCTGAACGTCTACTGGGAAATTTTTCCTTAGCTGTTCCTATTTTTGTTGCACTTTCTTGCTTTGGATCTATGAATGGTGGTATATTTGCAGTATCAAGGTAAGTTATTCTTTTGCTAATGAAAGGTAAAATACAAGTGAATGGAACATAGAAATATACTGTATATTCATATACACACATGCATACTTACTAGATTTATTTCTTCATATGTAAATACCACTGACAGTCTAATAATTGAATAAATACAGAGAAAATATTGTACTTTTCCTTTAGTTTTTAGCTGACATTGAACACAGTCTAATAGTAAAATGAGTGAAAGCAATAGAACAATGTATAATATTGCAGAAAATCTACCATATTTTTCAGAGTATAAGACACACCAGAGTATAAGACGCAGCTTAGTTTTTTGGGAGGAAAATAGGAAAAAAAATCTGTCTACCAGGTATTCATCTGGCTAGCATCCATAGTCTGGTCAGCTTCAGCACATTAGTTTGCTGGTTTTTATTTCCTGCTTGGTGATAAATAACAGCTTCTAAAGCACAACTGATCTTTGGAGAGAGAAGCAATGAGAAAAGCAGGCAAACAACAGAGATCGCTTCAGACGTTAGCACCTCATTAGTCTGAAACAAAGCTTTGAAAAAGCTACATTCAGAGTACAAGACGCACCCAAATTTTCAGCCTCTTTTAGGAGGGAAAAAAGTGTGTCTTATACTCCGAAAAATACAGTATTTTAAATAGATTTTTTTATTATTATTGTTCCCATTGCCTGGTACAATTTCACTGATACTTGTACAAATTAACTGCAAAAGTAAAATAAAGCAATGCTAAAACTATTCCTATTTTTGAACGCTGACAAAGATGTAGGTTCAAAATAGGTTTTAGAAGGTTTTTTTCATAAGCTTCTAAATGTGCTTTCTAAAATTCTTTAATTCAGCTTCTGATGCTTGCATTGCATAGAAACAAATAGTACTATTGAGGATAACTTTGAACGTATTGTGCATCTCTGGTGAACTGCTTCAATTAATCTTGGTAATGAGCATCTTTAAAAGCTGTCCAAATTTATTTTCCCATCAGGATGTTCTACGTTGCATCCCGTGAGGGTCACCTTCCAGAAATTCTCTCCATGATTCATGTTCGCAAGCACACTCCTCTACCAGCTGTCATTGTTTTGGTAAATCATATAAACAAATGGCTCTTTATCAACACTGTATAACATGGTCCTGCTCGGAAGCATTCAAATGTAACTTAAACACTACTTGAAATGTGGTTATTTATTTCTGTTTCGGTATGTTTGGAGGGGTGGAAAATAAATAATGAGATGATGTATTCAAGAACTTTCTGCTAGTTGCCCTTAACTCTCATGGCTAGCACTTAAATCAGACTGCTGTATTTTATTTGAAGGTTGAATGAGAGTGATTAGTTAAACTCTCAATGGAATGATTCTTCCTAGATAGGAGGCAGACCAGTGAAATTCTAAAAACAGGCTATATGCTAATGTGCTGCTTTGAAGAGCTGAAGTTACATTCTAAATATTTTGAAGAAAAATGTAAACAGCAGTGATAGATAAACAGCATTACCCCTCCTCTCATGGTGCTAATTCTAGGTAATTTATATACATATGTATATAACTGCCTTTTTTATATCACCAATCTGCAATGCTGAAATGAAGTGGCACGTTGGATAAAGGACCGCAATTTTATTGATGACAATGAAAATGTATTACAGAACCTGCAATTGGATAAAGTGGAGGAACACACACTGCTTTCTCACTGTCACAACTATCAAATCCAATGAACAAAACAAAAGTCCTGTCAAGCTGGATAGCTCTAACCTTTTACTAATACAATAGTTTTGGTCAATTTAATAAGCACTTATACTGTATGTATAAGTTAATCAGGTTGCAGCACAAATGTCTTCTTTCATGACTGTATAAAGAGAGACTGAATTGACTGAAGAGAATAGGGTCAGATGCTCTTATACCCACTGTATGGCATCTCATTGTAGAAACAGTATAATATTAGAAAATTAATTATTCATTTCTAGTCAGTGGAGAGAGATCAGAAATGGACATGGGTACAAGCTCACATCCAAGTGTATATTGTGGTGATTAGGCCAGTAAATATTTCTGTTCTTTACATCAGTAGTCTGTGCCTCACGAGTCATTTTAGTGTGATTTATTCCCTATTAGAAAGTGACAAACAAGAGCTATCTACAGGCCATTGAATAATTTGACAACTTTTCACTAATATCATTGGTCAAATTTACTGAGGTTTAGACTCCATATGGGCAGAATATGAGACATGACAAAGATAGAATCTTGCAAACTTATGTGGCATCGATTTTATTTTATGAATTCTGAGGACTTGGATTGGGTGCTGGACAGTATGAGTTTCATCATGTATGGGTGGTATTCACACTCAGCCAGTCTCCTTTGGGATGATTGGATCAAGTTCAGTGAGATTGCTAATGCTCTTCTCTTCGTGAAGCCATCTCTATATCCAGTCATTTCGGATACCAATTGTCTAGTGTACAATAGTCCTTCTGTGGCAAAGATTTTGGAGAAAATGTTAGAACTCCAACTACAAGTGTCTCAAAGAAGTGGATTAACTGATTTTTTTCTCAGTAAAATGGGGGGGGGAAGAGAAAATTCAATGTGGTTTATGGTGTATCCAATACAATGTAATAAGCAACAACTTGTGCACCAATGAAGCTTTTTAATTTTTAAATTGTTTTTCAGTACCCACTCACTATGGTCATGCTCTTCACCAGTGATCTCTACAGCCTCTTGAATTTCCTCAGTTTTGCCAGATGGCTTTTTATAGGATTGGCAGTTGCCGGGATGATCTATCTCAGATATAAACGTCCTGATATGCCTCGTCCTTTCAAGGTAACCATGGTTACATGACTGTTTTCCATAAACAGGTTTTGTTCAAACCAAGCCCTGTATTTAAAAAGAGATCACCTAGTGAAATTATCCTCTTTTCTGGTTGCTCATACATTTATATGAATTTATCTGTCTCTGAAAATATCTTCTGAGGCAGGGGTGAGATTCAGCAGTTTCTGACAGATTCTGGAGAACCGGTAGCGGAAATTTTGAATAGTTCGGAGAATCGGCAAATACCACCTCTGGCTGGCCCTAGAGTGGAGTGGAAATAGAGGTTTTGTAATATCCTTCCCCCAGGAGTGGAGAGGGAATGGGGATTTTGCAGTATCCTTCCCCTGGAGTGGGGTGGGAATGGAGATTTTACAGTATCCTTCCCCTGCCATGCCCACCAAGCCACGCTTACCAAGCCACACCATGCCCACCAAGCCATGCCCACAGAACTGGTAGTAAAAAAAAATTAATTCCACCACTGTTCTGAGGCCTTATGTCACCAATCCAACAGCACAATACTTTCTTATCTTCAACAGTGTCCAACACAATTATGGTAGAAATTAAGTTTGGGAGCCAAACAGGTTTTGTGGCAAATGTAGCCACATTCTTCAACATCAAACTGAGGAACTCAGTTGTTAAAAAATATTGACAGTTCTTCAGTCATTGTGTCAATGGCAGTTGCCTGAATTGGTTCTGCTTCTTTTAGGGATTATGTATCACAGCTAGACCTTAAACGATTTCAGTGTTGGTTAAAGAACACAGCTTGCAGTCCTTCCAGTCAAAGAATATATTTTGCTCAATATTACCCTGTTTTCCCCAAAATAAGACATCCCTTGATAATAAGCAAAATCGGGCTTTTGAGCACAAGGCAATAAGACCAAGCGCTTATTTCAAAAAAATATAAGACAGGGTCTTATTTTCGGGGAAACACGGTACTTGATACAGTAATATCTTGATCATTGTTTTATATTGCTCCATGATACAGGAATTATTTTCCCCTTAATTTAATTTTAGTTTTATTTTCAGTAGTTCATTGGGATTTTATTGTTAATGGTCTAGTGGTACATCACAAGATTAGAAGTTAAGAGAATATAAATCCTGCCATAGGCATGAAAGCCAGCTGGGATACTTTGGGCCAATCACTCTCTGTCAGTCCAACTCACCTTACAGGTGGTTGTTGTGAAGAAAATAGGAGGAAGAAATATTAGGTATGTTTTCAGCCTTGAGTTATTTATAAAAATAATAAAGCTAAACACAAAAATAAAAAAATAAGCTAAAAAAAATTAAAAATGCTAAAATAAAATCTTAAAAAATTGTTTTTGTTTTGCCAATAAGGAGTACTATATCATTCTTGAAAACTGAAGTGTTTAATTACATATTGTAGGTTTTGCTTTATTTTAAAATAAATTCCGTTTTTTTTTAAATTTTAAAATATTTTTTATTTCTGTGAATAAAGAAGTATGGAATATTACAAGCACACCTTGCTATCAGAACTTGTTATTCATTTCTAAAATGTCATTTAACCTGGCAGTCTTTTGCCTGATTATTTATTGATTTGGGGAAGCCGGGAAGTTAATCAATATATAGTGAAGAGTTTTAAATCATAGACCATACCCTGAAAATCTTGTTTCATAATAAGACTGATTCAAATAGACAATTCTAAAATATTACATTCTAATTGCCATTGCTTGTGCATTATCATTTAAAATGATGGTAGACTAGCAAAGCAAAAAAAAAAAAATGCTGGGAAAAAATTATACAAGCCTCTCAAAGTACAGTCTGCACAGATTTGTGAAATCATCTGATTGGCTTTACTGTATGGGACTAAGCATTTTGTTTTTCACAATGCAGATGCCTTTGTGGTGTTTGCGAGCAAGCAACCTCTCTTCCACTGTTGTTTCTATCACACCGTTGAACTTGTGGCTTCAGGTGTAGAGATAACACGGAGTCTCAAAACTAATAGCCATTGACAGAACTGGTCTTCATAAATTGATGCAATTCCCTTTTATTTTTTATTTATTTAACCAATTTCTAAGATTGCTCACCCATAAATGACTGTAAGTGACTTAAGTTCATTCAAAACAATATTAAAAGAGAACTGCACCATGAAGAAAAAACCAAAATATACAATACATAAACCGTTACAATTACATAGCAATCAGTGGTGCCACACATTGCCTAGCTCAGTCCCTGTGTTAACACCTTGGTCTGAAATGCCTTCCTGAAAGACAGCAAGGTCAAAGGCATATAGATTTCAGGGCAAATGCTGTTCCAAAAGGCAGATGTAACTACAAAGAATACTTTCAGTCACGTGAGATGACATTGCTTTAATCAATGGGATCCAGAACATGCCAACTCAGACAAGTCTTAAATAGACAATTGAAAAGAGAAGGTCTTGCAAATACCTAGATCCTATATCATGGAAGGCTTTATAGATGACTACCAGTGCCTGGAATTGTATTCAGCAGTTGATGGCCAGCATAGCTTTGAAAGTATTTGTTTACATAGACGTACCATTTACCGGTTTAAAGATATCCTTCTGATTTTTAACCACGTCAACTACTTCCACTAAGAAAAGTGACAATGGTGTAGAACTTGTTATTAATTAAACCACCACTTGGATGCATGTTGAATAAAAATGCATTTAATTTCCTTTTCTTTTAATAGCCACTTGCATTTGCATTGGCCTTCCTGAATATCCACATTTTTTCAAAGTTATAGAGTGTCACTATATTTTAATTGTTATGGAATGTTGAATATTACTGACATTTAATTTAGATTATAATAGTAATTGTTTGGAATGTTTTCCAGGTGCCGCTGTTTATTCCTGCTCTGTTTTCCTTCACTTGTCTCTTCATGGTTGCACTGTCACTTTATGCTGATCCAATTAATACTGGCATTGGTTTTGCAATTACAATGACAGGAGTCCCTGCCTACTACCTCTTTATTATTTGGGACAAGAAGCCAACATGGTTTAGGCGATTTTTAGGTGAGTGAATTTTAAGCAAAACTGATTTTTTTTGTATTTTTATTTATAAGCTGCCCATCTTACCTCAAGGTAACTCTTATTTTTATGTTATTTTTATAAAAAAAGTATAACTTTACAACAGAGAACTTAATTTTTTCATACTTTGCTATTCTTATATCACACAAGTCATCTTCTTTTTTAATCTGATGTACTGGATAAATTGTTGCACTACTTTAATCAGAGAGTAGGTTTTAGTAATAGAACTCATCACACAATTTATAATTTGGAACACAACTACATTCCCCTTTCTAATCCTCTTTCCATAAAAAAATGTGGCTCTCTAGTTGTCTGTCCTATGCCCATAAAACCATCTTCATGTGTGTCTATCAAATGAAATATGAATGCTGGCTGGTAATTCCTAAAATTTGTTGAGAAAGGAGACAATTCATTTGTTCCTGTAATCATTCTTCTGTACTTTCTCAAAGATAGTGTCTTTTCCCAAGTATATAAGAGATTATAATATGACAACAACTAAATAATTGTATGGAAATTTCTTTTGAGTCTATAGCAATGCATTATTTTTATATGAATTGTAGAGAACAAACCAGAGATTTCCTCACATTTATGACTTCAAACTCACAATTCCTTTTCTGCCTGTTAATAATATAATTGATTTTTGAATTAATATCAGTGGCTTTATGTATTATTGGCCACCAGGAATAAATCTACAAATAACTTCAGCCTTACTAGGATTTGTCAGGTACAGATAGCCATTATAGTTAATATCAGATCTTATGGAGTTCAAAACCCACTATTGGGAGTTAGTCCAATGATTTTATGTAATGCTCCAGATTTTATAAACAACAATGACATTGGTTGCCAAAGACTGACAGTAAAGATATAGGCCAGGGGTGTAAAACTGAAGGCCTGCGGGCCACATCCGGCCTGCTGGGTTCTTAAATCTGGCCCATGGAGCTGGCCTGGTAATATCAAAGGTGAGGCCCCTGCACGGCCCATTTTTGGCTGACAGAGTGCTACTGGATGCCAGGAAGGCTGAAAATGGGCCATGCACAGGCCATGTGGGGCCTCTATGTGGCCCATTTTTGGCCAGCAGAGTGTTGTAGGAGGCATGGACGGCAAAAGTGCCCCCGCGCCCCCTTTTGGCTGGTAACGTGTTTCAGGAGGCCGTTAATGCTGAAAATGGCGCCTCCCCCACGCCCCATTTTGGCCAGCAGGGTGCTGCAGGAAGCATCTGTTCCGTCTCCCCCCCTGCTTCCTGCCCCCAGAGGAGGACTACAATGCAGATCTGACATTCGAAGAAATCCAGTTTGACACCCCTGATATAGACAATCTATAAGTATGTACTAATTTTTCTGGACTCTTAATTCCATGATAATGCCACCAAGATAGAAGACTATTTCAGTATAGATTTCTGTGGCTTATATATCTTACTCAGTGCAGGACCCTTTGGTCATAATTGAAACTTAGCAGGTACATTTTAATTAGTTCAAAACTATCTCTCTAGTTTTATGTTAAGACCTTTTTGGTGTAGGTTATGGCATTATGTTTAAGTTGATGAGCACAGATGCTAGTTGAACATTAAAAAGAAATTTTTAGGAGCAGAATGTCAGCTCTATACAGCCAGTTTCCAAGAAAGGTAAATTCCTTTTACCTGGGCTGAGACAGAAGCCAGGTAGTCTTCTGTCAGGGATCCTTTAATTTGCACTCCTGCACAGAAGAGGATGTTGGGCTTGAAGGGCTTTATCTTTTCAATTGAAATTCCTGTGAAAATCTCAGCGTCTAGCATTTCAATTAATTTTAGGAAACATTTTCAGCTGAGACCATTAGGAATCTTTTATACCACAAAGCTAATTTTGGCCTGGGGGACAATGTCAGATTTATAATGGGTAGGAATGTATAATCCATATCATTTCTTCCTATGTATTGCAGTCCTAATGAAAATCCCAGTACCTGTGATTCTTCTAAAAAGAAATCCCTTAATGTAGCTGCAATTAATTTTAATTAGCTATGCTTTAACACACACGGTTGTTGCTGCTTCTGCAGAAAGAAAAATCTACAATCTGTGTAATGGTGTTTTTGCACGTGTGTGTGTGTGTGTGTGTGAGAGAGAGAGAGAGAGAGAGAGGGGAGTATACAGGCTAACAGGCTATTTTTCAAGAATATGAAATGGAATATTTACCATATATCAAAAATGATAATTAAAAGATAGTTACTAAATTATATCAATGTATAAAGTTATTATATATAAATATATGTCTAAAGTTGCATCTTTTTAATGTTTTCAATACCTACAATAAATAAATCACTGTATGATAGTCAAAATATCTTCATCGTTTTTTTTTCCTTATGGCTTTATTTATCTACTTACTGTATATGTCTTCACAAGTATTGTTTTCTTCAAAGAATTGATATAAACATAAGAAATATAAAACAAAACTTGTGTGTTGGGAATCACTGTTACTTATCTAACCTTATGTCTATAGGATTCTGTATTTATTTCTCTCTGCCTCAGAAGAGTCTTTGTATTTTATTCTTTCATCAGGTAGTTACAATTTCACAAGCTGTTGAGTTGTAGTTTCATAAATCAGTTTGGCCACAGGATGCCAGTGTTGAACCATTACATTTAAGTAAAAAGCACAATACTTTTGAGATTTCTGCTCAATGCAGCGATATTTTGAGTGCTGTGATTATTATTGTTTCCTGGCAGGAGAAAATATAAGTACCATAAATGAAACACACAGACTCTGAAAACCTAGTTTAAATTCGTTATACAAAATAGTTTGTAATTAGAATGCTATGCTTCCATCTCATGGACATCATCTTTGGCAATCTAACAGTTAAGGAGAAAACAATATGTGTGTGTGTGTGTGTGTGTGTGTGTGTGTGTGTGTGTGTGCGTGCAGCTTGAAGCAGAATGCTCCCTCCCACATGTCGGGGTAGACCAGGTGTCTCGGTAAACACTTAATCTTTCCCCTGGTTCAAGCTGATGAAGGGAGGAGAACTTGTGGCTCAAAAGATTAATTCAACTACCTAACATGCAGGAAGCCCAAGTTTGAATCCAAGTAAGGGTATGGCTAACTGATGAAAGCTAAAAAGCTTGAAATAGATCTATACTAGTCTCGCTTTATTTCTTTATCAGCAAAATATAAATTTGGTATAAAATGGTTTGTCGTGAATGTGACTGCTTGAGGGCTCCTGGATTGGAGCTGAAAGGCAAAAGGGAGCAGAATGCCCCCTCCCACATGTTGGGGTAGACCAGGTGTCTCGGTAAACACTATATATATAGATATCAATAATCTTATATGAAGCAACCATAAACATTTGTTCCTTCTTAAGGCATCAGTGGTTTTGATCTCAAGATATATTATTTAAAAACGGATAGTCATCAATCCCTTCTGTAGGGTAAATTAATTTGGTCAAAAAGGTTTCCTGATTTTTCTAAAACATAGTTTTTAGGAATAATTAAATGGTTTTAAGTAAGGAAGAGAATGAACTAGTTGAGTGGGACATTCACAGATGCAAAATTGCAGTATAAATCAATTTATTTCAACTTTAAAACCATTCACAGATGCAAAATTGCAATATACGGTAAATAAATTTATTTCAACTTTAAAACCAAATGAACATGATGGAACCAAAATATATTGAAATGCCTTGGCATGCTTTAATGGTTTTTTTGCATTGGATTTTTAGTGTATGCATGTAAAAATCTGATTTTAAGGAACAGAAGGAGCTATTAGACAGATAGAGTAGGAAGTTCTGCCCTAAATTCCAATAACAGCTTTTTTTAAAAAAAATTATTTGTTTACATTTACATCTTACTTTTCCTGTAAGGAATGCCAAATAGTATGTAGGGACAATACTATTTTTTATTCTAAGAACAATCCTATGTGGTAGTTTAGAATGAGAGAAAACAACTGTCCCAAAGACACTACATATGAAATAAATCTCACAGGAACAGGTAATTATAATTGCAATACATCTAATGTACTGTTGAGAGTAAGAATTTGCCAGGTTATTTTTTAATTTATTTAATTTATTTTTCTATTACTTTGTAAAGGCAATCTTCTTAAAACTTTTAATAAAATTCAAAAAATGAATCACCAGACTGATTTTATATACATTTTATGCAACACATATTTTGGATTTGAATCAAACTGTCAATTGCTTCAGTTGAATTTCTATGTCTCTATTATCTCTTTCTCTGTCTATAGTCCTATTCCAAATGTTCTGAAAAAAAAAAAACACCTACATTTGAGTAAACATGAACTGACTCTCATATATTGTTCTTTCACAGGCAACATGACATCAACATTACAAATAATCTTAGAAGTTGTTCCAACAGAAGATAATCCAGATTTGTGATCTTCAGCTAGATGAATCTGCATTGTTGGACAAACACCCAAGTTCTTCACTGATTAAATGAACTTTTTTTTTTTTTTTTTTTGCCAAAATGGCTTTTTAAAAAGTTTTACTGGAAGAAGTTATATTGGGGCATCAGTTTTAACCTGATACTTGATGAAAACTTTAAATAGAATTGTTATGTATGTATGTATATACATACATAAAAAAGTTATCTGATACTGTATCAACAGTTTTGTAGGCAACTATCTTAAAACTGTTGTAAAATAGTGTTTATCTTCTGCTTTGCAAATGGAGTTGATATGGTATTTTCTATATTTTAAATGTATAAATGTCCAATTTTTCATACTGATATTTACTAAGAACATTTGTTTTAAAAATGTTCATCATAGCTGGAAATATTAAGAGTGGATTATATGTGAATTCTCCATGCTGGACCTGATGTAAGACAACAGTAAAAGAATTGTATTAATACAAAATTATTTCATTATTTATTCTTTTTTTAAAGAAACACTTTATGGTTCATTGGGGACACTACTGCATTAAAAACAACTCTTATTTCCTTTTAATCAGTTGTGGTTAAGACTGCTGAATTGTTCTGACATACTAAAAAATATACTAAATGATGGACAGAGGAACATTCTTTGTCAATACTTACACATAACAAATGTAACTTCCATTCTAAGTGCTTTAGGCAGGTTTGCTTCATTTTACTGTCTCTTTTTTGCAAATCAACCCAAATTCACTATTTATTTGAGGTTCTCCATTTTACTGTCTTGTTATTGAAAATCAGCATAAATACACCATTCATTTGAAGAGCTTCCAGATTAGCATTTGATCAAGGAAAAGCAACATGAATGAATGAATAAAAACTTTATTATGGTCATCGACCAGCAATAGACATACAATAAATTAAAAATAATACTGACACTAATCATGAATAATAACATCCCTGTTAAGGAAATACTTAATCTCAAACCATTAAGGTCACTCCCTAATTTACATGAGTGGAGAGCCGATAAATATGTGAGTAAATGTATTTTTCCAATAATTGTTATAGATATCTCCAAAAAATTGGCACCAGTTGACATCTATAATTCTGTAACCAGTTTTTTTTCTTGTGGACATTGCAGTGGCACAGAATTTTGCCACTGCCCGCGTGGTAGCCGGATTTGAATCTTGGAGGAGAAAGCCTATATAAAAGTCGTCTGTCCTCCCGGGCAATCTCTCTAGTAAGGGAGAATGTATATTGACCTACATACTCTGTATAACTCACAGTACAATAAAACATGTAAAATATCTTCAACTTCTTCTTTTCCACATATGCATACCCATTCTGCTATTGGTGTTCTCTTGTACCTACCCTGGAGAAGTGCTGAGGGGAGAATATTAAATCTGGCTCTGAAGAAAGCTATTCTTTGTTTTGGGAAGATCAGATCATTCAGATATCTTCCTGCTTCCCACACACCCTGCTTGATTCTGTCCCTACTGTGGAGAGGCAACCTATTTACCGTATTTTTTGGAGTATAAGACGCACCGGAGTATAAGATGCACCTATCTTTTTTGGTTGTTTTTTTTAAAGTTTTTTTTTTATTTTTTAGACAAACACACATACAAACAAACATACAATGTATTTTCTTTGAACAGAGTATTTGGCTGGTTTACAAATTTAAACAGTGTTTAGTCATTTCAATTAAATTTACAATTTCTATATTTCCTTTTTGCCATATTTATTCCTCATCTATTTTTTTTAAAAAACCAATATTACCCTTCATTCTCATCTCTAATCTTAATCAAATTCAATTTTTCCCTTCTATTCTATATTATACCCCTTCCTATTGTCATCTATTTTTATATCCATCCTCACATTGGTTAATTATTTAATATTACAATTGTTTAATACAAATTCAACATTTTTATATAAATAAATTAGTTATAACTATCTTTTTTGTATATTAATAAATATGAACATGAACATTCCAATTATTTCCATGCAATCCAATTTCTTACAAATCAATTAATTATATTTACCAATAATAATAAACCAAATAATTTTCCCCATATATTCCTCCAAACCACAATTTAACCATTTCTGCTTTCAACACAATATACAATTAATAGTATCTCAATTATTACAATTCCCTAGTTAAATAGAGCTTTTTTTCTTTTGTGTTTTAAAATCTTGAACTCTCCTCTTTTGCCCTAAATTTCCCATTGTTTGAACCTACCTTTTTTGGTGAGGAAAAAGAAAATGAAATCTCTCTCTGCCTCATTTTGTCACGTTGCAGCAAAGAGCCTACTTTACTTTCAGTTTCGTTTTTTCAGCATAGCTAGGAAAAAAAAATCTGCTCCAGCACTCTGCAGCAAGCAGGATAGACCTGCACAAAACAGCTGAGAGCAAATCAGCTGAGAGTCGGGAGGCCGATCTAATCAACTTGTGCTAATTAACCTATGCTGAAGCTGAAAGGGGCTGTTTTTTCTTGCTGTTTGCTTGCAAGAAGGTAACTGCTGTTAGGCACAGGCCAAAGGGTGGGGGCCAGTGGGTGGGCAGGGCTACATTCGGTGTATAAGACGCACCTAAATTTTCACCCCCTTTTGGGGCGTAAAAAGGTGCGTCTTATACTCCGAAAAATATGGTAGTTCTTCTTGGAACTCTGTGTCCTTCATTCTATCAATTACTACTTGCTTTGCTTTGATGGCTTGCAGGAATTTGGTTTGTGTAGTTTCCAGCAAGTTTTTCTTTGCAAGGATTCCTGTTTGTGCCCCATAAAGAATTTGCGCCAAGGTTTTGGCCTCAAAAAGTTTTAAGGCAGCAGGTACTAATTGACCTCCGCCTGTATAAAAGAAGTGTTTAATTGCATTTGAAGACCTAATGTCTGCTCCAAGTGTGCCCGCCATGTCCCTTGCGAGTGAAAGACCACCCCAAGGTATCTAAATGTCCTAACCTGTTCCAATCTGTGTCCTTCAATTTTCCAGGAGTATTGTCTGGGTTTTTTGGCAAAAACTAAAAATTTTGATTTATCAAAGTTAAGGACCAACTTGTTCTGTCTACAGAAGCCAAGTGTCCTAATTGGTCTCTTCAGTCCTATGGGAGTTTGTGAAATAATAGCAGCATCGTTGGCATATAGGAGAATCGGAATTTTGCATTGTGCTATGTTAGGAGGATGTAGATCAGGGTTCTATAAGAGATCAATCAGGTGATTAATATAGAAGTTAAAAAGGGAGGGGGACAGGATGTAGCCCTGCCATACCCTTTTTGAACCCTTACTGGGCCAGTTAAAGTCCTTTGAGGATTACACCTCACTTTCAAGGTGGAATTGGCATACAATTTTTGTATGAGGAAAAGGAGATGTTTATTGATTGTAGTGCATTTTAATTTCTCCCATAGGGTGTTCCTGGATATTGAATCAAAGGCCTGCTTAAATTCAAGGAAAGCCACATAGAGAGAGAATTTTTTTTGTACGTATATTTTTGCATCAGATGGCGAAGTATCAGGATATGATCCACCATAGATCTTCCTTCTCTAAAGCCGGCTTGTTCATCTTTGATTATCCCCCTTGAAATTATCCAAACCTGGAATTTATAGTTTAGGTGTTTAGCATACAATTTATTAATAACACTCAGAAGACTAATGGGTCTGTAATTTCCTGGATCATTTCTATTACCCTTTTTATAGATTGGTATAATAATTGCTAATCCCCAATCTCTTGGCATACGGCCCGTTTTATCTATAAATGTAAACAGCGATGCTAAAAGTGGGGCCCACAAACTGGTGTTCTTTTTGATTATTTCTGGAAGGACATTATTAGCACCAGGGCTCTGATCAACCAGGATATCTCTTCTGGTGTAACAGGGGCAACTAGTTACATAGTTGGTGTCTGTATATAACTCTCTAAAATATTCTTGCCAGGCCTGAATCGGTACCTGATTAATTGGGGATAGGGGGGATTTCCCCAATCCTCTGGTAATGTACCAAAAAAGGGATGTATTTTTTGTCCTGATTGATGTAATTAATCTCTGCCAAGAATTTTTCAAAGCTGCACTTTTCTTTTCTTTTAGGAGGGTCTTATATTGTGCCTTCAACTGTTTTACGAAATGAGTGTGATCCTCAGAAGGGTCATTTTTACTTCTTCTGTACTCGTTATTATATATCCTTTTTAATTGCACGCAATCTCTATCAAACCATTTTTTGTTCTTTATAACCAGCTTTTTGGAGCGAGCTAGTATTCTGTTAGTGAGAACCAATTTCAAATTTGAAATTAAAGTTTCAAACTCCTCTAAGTATGGTCCTTCAATCTTATTTCTTAGTAGAGATGTATGTAATTCTATGGTTTCTGGAACTAACATCCATTTAGTAAATTCCTTTGCATTTTTCTCGGTCCATTTAATTTTTACCTGGGTATTTTGGCTCTCTAATCTGGGTAGGTAGAGTGAGCCAACCCTTAGTAATTTACTAAGATGTAATGTAAGAGTAAGGATAAGTGAATTGTGATCACTTTCCAGTCGCGAGTCTACCTCCATCTTCTGCAAGAACTTCAGGAGGTCGTATGATATTATCCAATAATCAACTGTGGATTTTCTTCCTGCTCCCTGATAAGTATAGTCTGCTGGGTAGTCACCCCAAGTGGAACCGTTCAGGATACAAAGGTCCAAGCCTACAGTCATATGTCTTATACATAGTGCTGCCCAATTTGCCTTAGTATCTTTAAATTGTCTGGGATGCAGGGGTTCTTCTGGTACATTCTCATCATAATGGATCTTAAATTGATTAAATAATGCTTGATCGTTTGGGCCCATCCTAGCATTTAAGTCCCCTCCCCAATAATTATTGCTGCTGTAGGGTATTTATCTAAGCAGCCCAGGATAAAATCTTCTATGCCGTCCCAAATCTTGTTGATCAAATTATTCGTATTGAGTGGGGGAATGTAGGTATTAAAAAGCAAAATCTCCACCTGTTTAAATAGGAGTAGGGTAGTCACAACCCATGGCTGCAAAGATGGCAGTGATACACATTTTAATTGTAAGGATGTATTCACTAATGTTGCAATACCCCTTTAGCTCTCCCACCTACCTTATTTGGGACAGCTGGGATAGAGTTAACCCGATAACCATCTAACTGTACAGTGGACTAAAGCACTGTTATTAACAGATTAACATTTGCTGCTTGCAATTACTGCAAGTTCAAATCTCACCAGGCTCAAGGTTGACTCAGCCTTCCATCCTTTCAAAGGTAGGTGAAATGAGGACCCAGATTGTGGAGGCAATAAGCTGACTTTGTATATAACTATTCAAAAGTATGAAGGCTATTGCTTAACGCATTGTAAGCCGCCCTGAGTCTCCGGAGAAGGGCGGCATATAAATTAAAGCAAAAAAACAAAAACCCTGTATCTCTGCGGACGCCCAGGTTTCCTGTAAGAAGAGAATGTCAAATTGTGATACATAGTCCAAAAAAAGTTGGTCTTTTGATGGAACAGTCCAACCT